GGCCATCTGTGGGCGCCGTCTACACAGACTGCTGGATTTCGGACCTGGAGGACGCTGGGCCGTTCCACCTTGTCCTTCTGGAGGGCCCAGGTATACTGAGCTACAAAAGGGCCCAGGAAAGATATGTGCTCAGTAACATCCTCCACCAGGCTTCATTAGGGTCAATACACATCTCTTTTTTTGGAGGGGCCGTACCCGGAATTGAACTCAGGACCTTACACTTGCCGGGTAGGTGCTGTGCCGCTGAGCTATATCCCCATACACACCTTCTTTACAATACAAGTGTTCCCGGAATATTAACTCGACCTATCAGGCATTTACTCCTTGGAGTTATTTCCCATTTTAGAGAAGACTCCTCATTCCATTTCTGGGACTGAGACTCTTTAGAGCCAGGCCTGGGCAAACTACTGCCTCAGGAAGCTTCGTAAGAACACAGAAAGCCAGGCGAGGTGCCACACACCTGTAACCCCAGCATTCTGGGAGGCTGAGGCAGGAAGATTGCAAGTTTGAGCCCACCCTGGGTAAGGAACTTAGTATCTTAGCTACCTAGCTGGACTGTATCAAAATAAAAAGTTAAAAAGGGCTAGGGAGGTAAGGTCATGCAAAGGCCCTGGGTTTCACTCTCCAGTGCAGCAAAAAGGGCCTAGGGGATGGAGAAAAGAAGATCCAAAAGGGAGGCAAAAAAGTACTAAAAATCTTTAAGAATCTTTACTTCCTGTCATTTTCGAGAAGGCTCTCTGCGGCACACTGGAAGCAGCTGGTAGGGTGGAACCACTGATTGTGTGTTAACTGTGACTTGGACAACTGCCCCATCTCTTTCCTCTGTAAAATGGGAGGAGGGAGAGATGTACAGACGGCCCCCTGGGGCCAGCTCTGGGTGTCAGTGAGCACGGTATCCAGGCTGGCAGTGCCCTGTCCCTCCCGCAGGAAACAGCAGCCACTTCTTTAGGAGGAGGCCATGCCAGCCTTGAGAGACAGAGCACACTGCACAGGGGGCGATGTGGCGCCCAGCACTCTGGGTGGCCCTGAGTGGTGAGAATGGAAAGAACCAGCATTTCTTTTTTTGAGACAGAGTCTCACTATGCAGTTCAGGCTGGTCTTGAACTCATTTAAGTAGCCCAGTCTGGCCTCGAACTTGATGCTATCCTCCTGCCTCAGCCTCCCAAGTACTGGGATTACAGGTGTGTGCCACCATGCCCAGTGAAGAACCAGAATTTTATTTTTAATTTTTAAAAATTATTTATTTATTTGAGAACCAGAATTTTGGAGGTAGGCAGTAACTTGGCAGAAAAAGCCTGAGGGAATTAAGACATGGAGGAACAAATTCCCTGAGCCAGGTTCAGCTCACCCAGCCGCCCTTCTGTCCAGCCCTCACCCCCCCCCTCACCTGACACCTCCCCCAGTGCCCGGGCCTCCTGAGCCTGGTTGTGACCGCTCAGCCACTCAGGCCTGGTCCCCCTCCCACCCACTTCATCAGCCCCCACGTCGTTCCCCGGTGATGTGCCCAGGTTAGCACAGCCACAGGTGACACGTCACGGGGTGAGACAGGCACACCACACGGGGCAGAATGACACACGCACGTGTCTAACCTCCCGGAGCACGCATGCGCCCCCCACCCGCAAGAGCTCCACTCTGCCCCAGGCGGGGACAGTGACCGGAGGACCGATGCTCTCCTGCCTCAGCGAAAGCCCAGAGCTCTCCAGGATGTGTCCCTAACCTCCTTCCGCAGGACGGAGTGCTTCTGAACACACCAACCCGCAGACGCACGCACCCTCAGAACACCCGCACGTCCTCCTGCGCACACGCACGCGCGCCCTTCGGCTGTCCTGGCCCACACGTGCGGACTGCTGCTGCTTCGGGTACCTCTCCGTGCGGTCAGCATCCCCCTCGGGGATTTCCCCGACCACAGACCCACCCACGTCCAGTCTCCCCCTTTCCCTTCTCTGTGCAGCCGTCGGGGGTTCTAGAGCTTGTTCGGCGAAGATCTTCCAGAGCTGCTGTCCAGAGCCACACCTTCCGTCCCGACTTCAGCGTGGGGCACCGGTGCGGCCCCGGGAGACGTGGGGAGAGCCGCGCCCGCCCGGCCCGGCCCGCGCTCCGGAGCGTTCGCCCCAG